AATTGAAAATCATGTAATTTACGCGTAGCTATTCACTAATCTATAATTTACATTCAGAATAAGTTTTTTCCTTTCATTGCCATGTAGAAACGACATACTTTTTGTTGTCCCGTGTTCGCATTGCACAAAAAACATAAGAAATATTTCCATTTAAGATACAGCTCGATTATCAGATCGATCAGTGTGATATTAACCATCGATGATTTATCCATGATTCACTGGAACACTCTTAACTAAGTTTATCGAGTGATTTTCCAATGTTTGAAAACTTCTTTAGAACACATTTCAATTGCAATGAAACGAATTCGTGGTATTACTAGACTATTCATAGTTAATCGCGAGAATCAACGCGCATCTGGAAATTTTAAATATTATTATAATTGTAATTTCGTGTAATTTTACTTTAGATTTATTTTACTTGGGTTCCACTTTAGTTTGTGTTAGTTTACTTAGCAAGTTTCTCCCTCATTGAATAAGCAAATATTTAAAGGAGAGCGATATTTTGTAAGTAATAATTTTATTTATTAGTTGAAAGCAATACAGATTCTGAAAACACGTTTCTTATATTTGTTTACTAAAAGAAACATAAATGAATTGCGAGAGAAAGATCACGAAATCTAATGCAGTACTACGATGGATACATCAAGTTATAGAAACATAATAAGAATAAGTTCAATTCGCTTTAGTGTATCAAAATTTCGTAAAATCGCGTTAATAATTGCAAAAGAAGTTTATAATAATTCAATAATTAAAATATAAATTTAATAATTGAAATGTAACTATAATAATTATAAGTTGCCAGTTCTTTCAAAATGATACAATTTCAACGAACAAATTAATCAGATAATGTCCAAAAGTCCCTTTCTCTTTCTCTCTCAACTGTTTGTAATTTGTACACAAGTGCACTCAGCCTTCTATAGCTGACTGCAAACACATTAACAAATTTTTACAAATATAGTCTCGCGCTACAAACGAAAATTTCCCTGTTTCTTCGTTCGCTGCCATCTGCAGAACCGTAGGTAGAACCAAAAAAGACGACGAGGCAGGCGCATTTGTCTCAATTGAATACTTGGTTCACTGGAGATCGCGTTTCAACCGGTTCGAGCAACGTCCTCTAATTCCCCGCGATCCGCGATCGATCTACACTCGCGGTGATATTCTCGCGTCGGTTGATAATTTACACGCAAGTACCGCAGTGGGCCGTGACTCTCGTCTCGCGACGAGTAACAAGAGCGACAAAAACTCGAGGAAACTCCTGTCGCTGGGTTATACGTACGCAACTGTAGAAAGAGAACCGAGAGACTCGAGCATGGGGCGAGAGGGAGAAAAGGAACACGATGAAAAACAGGAGAGAAGAGACGGAGAAGAGAAAAAAGAAAAAAAGAAAAAGAAAAGAGAAGAAGTGACGCAGTCGAGCGAACACGATTAAGTGGTGCATCCGGGCGGGGATCTCGCGATGGGCCAACGAAGTCCACGGCCGATTAAAGAGTGCTGCGTAACGAGTGTTTCGTCGATCGTTCGTGTAATTAATGGCGGACAGTGCGCCAGGACAGGCCGCGCCGTGTAATAATCGGTAATTACTCACGGTAATTAAATAATGCGTTTATCGGCGTGCAATCGGCCGAATGGGTGGCCAGAATCCCGCGCTTCTGCCCCCGGACCTAACCGGCTGCGTGATCCGCGGCCCACGACACACCGAACCGATAAATCTCGCTCGATTCGCGCCCGCCTCGATCGATTCTTCTTGCTCCCAAACTTGATCTTCTTCGACGACGTTCTCCTTTAACTTGGTTCCAATAAACGGTTTTTCCGCTGAACGTGCTTTTTTTTTTTAATTTACGACGAAAATTAGAACACTGGAACTATCGACGACTATTTAATTTTATTATATTTTGTGAAAAATTTATTTATATCTTTTAAGAATATATGGTTCTACACTTGTAAAATTTCTAACGAAAATTCTAAATTTGGTCACTTTATTTTGCGGTTTATATTCCGCTGTGACACGAACAACGATTTTATTCTAATAGTCTAATGTGCAATCTGCCCGTATCAGATAATGGTTCTATTCGATTCAGTAGATCCATTATAAAAATAAATTCGGACCTGAATAACAGCTTGAAAAATTATAAAATTAAGAATCCGTGTTTATGTTGAAATATTTGATCACTTATGTGGTCGATATTCACCAATCGAGATCAAGATATCTATTTTTTGACAGTTGCTGAAATGAGACACGAAATTTCACATTTGTTCAACGATTATATCTATATATTTAAATACATATGAACAAATATAGAAATACACAAGTTCCGAGGAAGTAAAAACAGATAGATATCTTAAAAAAACATGAAAATTGAGGATTTTTTTTTTATCACGTGTGTATAAGCGAAATAGTTGAATCGAATTTCGCACGCGTGAAATAATTTGAATTGAAAGATAATGATTTAACAAAGTTTCGTTTGGTTCGTAGTTTTGTTATTAATGCTATTAAACTATCAGAGAGATCAAAATAATTAATTCGTAATTTTTGATAGAAATCTTAGAGATTTCCACGACAATATATTTCTGGCAGGTTGAATCTTTGTAAAATATATAAATAAAAACTCTTATCTTGTTTATTGTACCACAAACTTGCCCTTTCATTTTTCTGAAATGAAAATTTTAACAGTAATATTAGTAATTAATTCCTTAGATGGTGTCGCAAGTTACAAATTACAAAACTTTAAGCTACTCAATTTCATTCTGCATTCCATTTTGGAATTCCGGATTTAAACGGAGTGTAAAACAAAATATTCATGACTTCGAACAATCCAATGATACCAGTCAAGAATTAATAACAGGGTTGCTTACTGTAATGTAATAATTTAAGCAAAACTGCATGTCTACGTGAATTTAAAAAAAAAATGGGCGAGAATCGAATACATCGATATTGTTCCCAATGATAATAAAGAAATCTCGCGACGTCGAGAGGGAGGCAAGGATTTCCTTCCCTAGACCAGGGTATGAATCAGTTTAGCCCGATATCGAGCAAAACAAATGGCGGTATTCTTGCTGGGAACGCTGGCCGCTTAATAAGGCGGATAAACCAACTGTTCGTTTCTCATTTGTAAAGATGTCCGGCTACGCCTCCACGGACATTTGTCAGGATCGGTCAGTTTTTGCAAGCGTCGCGGTTCGCGATCCGATGTTCCTCATGGTGTGTGCGAGCGTGAGCGCCGTAGACCGAGAAAACGCCGAGACCACGACCGGGATCGGCACCCCCGTGACTAATGCACCGTGACGGGGCCAACGTTACCAAAGCAACCGCGTTTCTCATTTATTCGAGATGCGACAAGGTGGGGATCGTGGCTCTGCCAGTAGCTTTCGGATCCTCTTTGCAATAAACCAGGTGAATGGAAAGTGGAAATTATATCGTGAATAGAATTTTCACGCATTTATGTGAAGTATACAAAGAGCACATGAGATTTACAGTCAGTGCCATGCGTAAAGATCACGATATATAATATTTATAAAATAATACTGTAATATTTATATGAAATGAACTTCTATTTAGCCTCCATTCTTTTTTAGTACGAAAATGTATAATGTATAAGAATCTGTTTCACGCAGCTACTATCTGTCGCTGATCTGAAATTCAACAAATCTAGATTCGAAGATTTTAATTCGAGAAAGGAAAGGAGCTTTCAATTGGAAAATTCAGTTACAAACTTTTCCAAGCCAAGGTGAAATAAATGATACCAGGATCTGTACGATCAATCGTAGAAATTTCGATACGTCTGCCAGATTTTAAATAGAAACAAAAGAAGAAATGTTTAGTGAAAATTTACTGGCTCAATTTAATATTTTTTCTCTTTGAAATATTTGAAAAAAAATAGTCAATTATCAATATATATATATATCAATTATATCAAGATATTAATCAAACTTCCTCTTTAACGGATTCGAAAGAGGAAGTACGATATGAAAGAATTCTCAGTTAGCGGGTTTTTCCCCACAAACATCAAACATTCATAATCCCTCAAGGTAAATCGTT